GGGGGGGGGCTCGCCCCAGGGAGGGAAAGGGGGGGGGCTTTTCTTTTTAAGGATTCGTGGGGGGGGGGAATATGGGGCAATGGAAAGAAAGAACTTCTCCCTTCAATGGGGGGGGAGTTGGTTTAAGGGGGAGAAAAGTTTAAATTGGTTGAATTGAGCGCATGTTCTCCCAACCCAGAAAAGATCCACTTTCTTTCTGCTTAATCTAAATAGAGAGGGATGAATATTCTTTGATTTTATTCTAATTCTTTTTCTTCTGTTTCTACAAAGCTGGGCAGAATCTGAAAAAAATCATTATTTTCTTTGTTTTGCCATGAAGAGGCTGTGAGGTGGCAGCCCCTTGGTGGGTTTTATCAATCAGAATAGAGCTGGAAGGGACCTTGGAGGTCTTCTAGTCCAACCCCTTTCTCCACAAGGAGACCCTATACCATTTCAGACAGGTGGCTGTCCAGTCTCTTCTTAAAAGCCTCCAGTGATGGAGCACCAACAACCTCTGAAGGCAAAGCTGTTCCACAGTTTAATTGTTTTCACTGTTAGGAAGTTTCTGCTTAGTTCCAGATTGCTTTTCTCTTTGATTAGTTTCCATCCATTGTTTCTTTTTTTACCTTCAAGTGCTTTGAAAAACAGGTGGATCCTCTCTTCTTTGTGGCAGCCCCCCCCCCCCAATATTGGAATACTGTTGTCATGTCACCCCCAGTCCATCTTTACTCTAGACTGGCCATAAACTATTCCTGCAACTGTCCTTCACATGTTTTTGTCTCCAGGCCTTTAATCATTTTAGTTCCTCTTCTTTGCCCTTTTTGCAGGGTCTCAATATCTGTTTTGTAATGTGGTGACTAAATCTGGATGCAGTATTCCAGGTGTGGTCTTACTAATTTACTTGCTCTTTATAAAGCTGTACTAATCCTTCTTGTGATTTTGATTCTACCATTCTTGTTTATACAACCAAGGATTTTATTTGCTTTTTTGGAAGCTTTTGCACACTGCTGGTTCATGTTTAAGTGATTTGCCACTGGACTCCAAGGTCCCTCTCACAGTTAACTGTTTTTGAGCCAGGTTTCGCCTAATCTGTATTTGCACCTTTGGATTTTTCTGTCTACGTGTAAAACCTTTCTTTTCTCCACACTAAATTTCATGTTGTTGGATAGGGCCCATTGTTCAAGTCTGTCAAGGTTTTTTTGGATCCTCAGCTTGACTTCTGGGGTGTTGGCTATTCCTGCCAGCTTAGTGTCATCTGCAAATTTGATGACTTCCCCTTTTATTCCCTCATCTAAGTCATTTATGAAGATTTTGAGAATACTGGGCCTAAAACAGAACCTTGTGGTACCCCACTGTTTACTTCCCTCAATGTAGATGTAGTACCATTAAGGACTACAGTTTGTCAGCTAGTTATAAATCCATCTGGTGGTGATGTTTTGTAATGTTGTGACCAAACCTGGATGCATTGTTTCAAGTGTGGTCTTACTAATTTACTTTCTCTTTATCAGCCTAATACTTCTTGTGATTTTAATTCTACCACTCTTATTTATACAACCAAGGATTGTAT